ATATTTTTTTAAGGTACGAAATTTCAAAATTATATTAAATTATATAGATATATACATATACGGAGCCAGTATACATAAAGTGTAATGTTCAAAATTCTATTTATTTATAGATACAATTTCTATAATATGAAAACAAATCCAAAGAAGAATTACAATTTAAATCAACCATTTTTTTAATATTGTTTGTAAGTGCAAAGTGGCACAATGGGGTATCTGTGCTGTTCCTTCCATGAACCCTGAATTTTAGCATTTTATAGGTCCTTAAGCTTAACTCTAATACATCAAAAGGTTTTTATTTTTAGAAACAAGTACTTTTCATTCATTAGGACAATTCTACTTTAATGACATGTAGTTGGTTGTTTCAGAAGCTTTATTCTATATTTGCTAAGAATGACACCAGCATTAACTAGTATGTTGGTCACATGAAGACATCTTTATGTGCAGTGTCTTACTATATGGAATTAAGATACTCTAACAATCAAAACGTATACTTCTGAATACATTCTAATTTGTCAAACTTTTTTTATTAATTAGAAACTGGACAATTACTTTGTATGTTCTATTATATACGTGTGCAAAGTATACAGCTTTATTAAAAAAAAAACTTAGTTTGATTTCATTTCTGGTAACTATAGTGACTGAAATAGTAGGGTTTCATTCAGACTTCACATTTTTTTAAATATAAATACTTTTTTCAACAAGAAAATATCGTCTCTTGAAATAATGACTTGTGTAGTCCAACATTAGCTTTGACAATACACATAAACCTTTCTTTACATTCCCTGTTTACCTCCAATTGTTATACAAATCCAAAATCAGAAAACCCTCTTGAAATAACTGCCTGTTTTGGAAATTCTACAAATTACAAACAACAACAGAAAAAGCACCAGCATTATGTTTAAGAAAAAATTCAGGAGGTTCACTTTACAAAAAAGATGTTTATACATTTGCAACAAAGGTTGAATTTGAGAAAAATATTTAATAGATAACAAGAACCTTCCAACAAAAATTACTAAGCAAACAAACTTTATACAAAGAAAAAATCTTTCAAAGATCCTTTCATGATTTACTAAACAATGACTTAGATAATGATACAGAAATTAAGAAATTTAACTGCCTTTAAATTCATACTTGAGTTAAGAAAAACACTTATGGAAAATTAATTATTTGTTTCTCAAGCCAATTTCTTGGAATATGACCAAGAAAAGCTCAAATATATTTATACTGAAATCTGAAAGAATTTAAAAAAAATCAAGACATCCAACTCTTTCTAGAAATTTACGTTTGAAATAAAGCTTCGTTGCATTTAAAAAAATTAGTATGATCATCCTAAAAAGCAATAAAGTACAAGAAATGTTTTAATAAAACTTGATGTTTGTGTTTTTTATAGCAAAGCCACACTGGACTATCTGCTGTGTCAACTGAGGGGAATCAAACCACTATTTTTAGCATTGTAAATATGTAAATTTGTTGCTGTCCCACCGGTGGACAAATTGTAGAGAAAAATTTTTTCTCCTCAATATGCAGTACCCTGTGAACCAGATTATTAATTTGAAATACCTCAATGTTTCAATGAAATGCCTGGGTGAAATCCCCATGAAGATTGAAGAACTTGATATGTTTAAGTGGATAATTCAGGTCTCCCAGATTACAGAGCACAATAATTCATAGAAGGTTTGTTTCTAATTAACTTTCTTTATAAATTCACAAAAATCAGGAAGTAATCTCATCCAAGTGTAAATGTACATAATCCTTGTGTTAGAAGGTATTCTTTGGTATATTTTTCTTTCTTTCTTTAAAGTTTTCATTTTCAATTTTCCCACATAACATATTTTTATCATACACTTTTGGTTGTTCATTCACAGTCTTTTACAACAATAATAGAACTATATATATGTGAGGTCTTATAACATTTTCAGCAACATATATAAATTCTTCCATTACCATATAACAGAATGTAAAGAAACATGTACAACTTCAGAATCTGTACTACACATCCGCGGACCGAGTTGTAAATGGCAGTCCTCTCCATCTTATACAAAGTTAGATCAGCCAAACAGTTCATCTTTATCTAGAAAATCTATAGATGATTTATTTAAATTAATAAAATTTATTGTGAAAGTTCTGGAAGATAAAATATTTTTAAAACAATGTTGCACCTACATTACTTGTGATGTTTAATGCTGATATTTATGTTCTTCTTTCCTATGTTCCTTCTTCCTTATTTACTTTGTTAATTTTACTGTAAACTGGTTCCTGTGAATAAGAAATGGGAAGCTTATGAAAATGTGAATTTCATAAATAATGCCTTAAATAAACAACCAGCAAATTGAAAGAGAAGGATTTAAAAGTATAAGAAATAATATTTATGACAAATTATCCAGTTCAAACTGTAGTATTACAAATCATATGAAACATAGACAGTTTATACTGAAAACCTATTAGCAACAAAACTATAATAGCCAGATGTTAAAAATAAATACATACTGAACTTAAAAACACTCCAACTGAAACTTAAAAAATATATCTAAATCTACAATTATGACTATACATAATCAGAATGCAACAGCTATTCTGATCAACTTTTAAAAATGTAATATCTCTACAAAACCTAGATCTACTACATATAAAGACTGGTTTAATACAGGTTAAATGAAACAGGCTAGAAATGGTGTTGAATACTGAGTAAAAATAAAAGATTATTTTAATAATGATAATGAGGTCAAAGAAAGAGGTGACTATTGGAGTGGAAGGACTACTGTGTTATGAAGATACAAGTAATGAAACTGAATAAACAGTATGCAGTTGAAAACAATTACATGATCAGCAGCTATAAGAGATGAGACTTCAGTATCACATCTTAAAGCCGACTTTACATATGAAATGTATATTAAAGGAGAGTAAGATTTGTTATATTTACATGTTAAATCAGCAAAAAAATGAATAACATAATTCATTATATAAACATTATTGAGACTTGGTGATTTTTTTGTGATTATGGAAAACATAATTTGTGAAAATGGATATCTGAAATAGAATCTTCAAGTTTAGATCCAGTGCTTAAAATATAAAAAAACATATATATTTCTTAGGGGAAAAACTACCAACTGGCTTCACTTTATTAAGATACCTAAAGAAAATTTAACCGCCACTGTCAATTGTCATTTAAATTGAGCAGTTTATCAAACACAAATGATTATGCACCTATTAATATTGTGCCATTTTGTAAAAACATGTAAATAATACAAGAAAGCTATAATGGCTCTACTTTTCATTCGATATTACCAAATCAAACATAATATTCAAATCATGCAAATGATTGTGTGAATAAGTTTTTCATATCTTTTTTAATGCTATTCACTGTTTGACAGTGTTGAATAATAGTAAGGAAGATCCTTAAAACAACATGCAGCCATTTTGACTCATAATTCATCACTACGGAAGTATTCTATCATACAGACTAATATAATGCTGCTAATACATTAAGGTGGAGTTATTACATTTTTCCTGTGATAATTAGCTGCACATGTTATGTAAACAAAGCATTAGTGGGAAAATCACCAAATGAGATACTTGGTAAATTTATAAATTTTACAATTAATAACATTCAGAGAATTTGTAACATATATATGTAGTGGTACTGGAAGAAGCAGTAGAATTTATACAGAATGTCTTATTAGTCCCCCAAAGCTTTCTTATGACACAACTAGATTGTCAGACATCTTAAAAACTGAAAGCAGGAGTTAAGCTGTAAACTCATCAAAAACTAGAAATGTACATTTTCCAAGATAACAATACAAGTTTGACAAATAATGAATCCTGTAACTCATTAGCAAATGCAAACTTAAAGAACTTTTTCATGAAACAGAGGATAACATATGACATTGTATACTTCCTAGTTGTTGTCAGTGGTACAATTCATTCTCACATTTAGGCAGAGGAAGGTAGATAAGAACTGAGAGATGGCTTTGTGTTGAAAGTAAATAAACAGAAAAATTATCTAACATTGAATAAAATAAAAAAATTAAAAAAGAAGTGAAGGAAAGATAGCATGCTCCATTATTATTTTTGTAGGCCTTTGTTATTTTTTTTTGAACACTGAACATTTACATGGCCTCAATTACAGTATATGGATGCACATTATGTCACAGAGGAAGAACCCAGTGGCACATCGGATGCTAAAAAAATCATAGTTGTTCTAATGATATAAATAAACATATTATGTAGCAGCACTAATGCAGCTACACATGACATCTAACTATGAAGTTCACAGTTTTGGCCTTTTGCAGACCATCTTTAAAATCACCTAGTTACATTATCAGTGAATGTAGACAAAGGAAAAGCACTGTGTGACATTATTAGTTATTTCCATATGAATAATAAATCTTTAAAAAGTATATACAAGTTTTGAAAACTGAACAGCTCATTAGTCTAATTTTGTTTCACACAACATCCATAATTTCATACAGTTTACTTTTTAACCTGGCTACATAATTTTCAAGTTTGGCTCCAAATTTTCATACTAGATTCACCAAACTGATACAAAATTTAAAAAGTCAGCTAAAATCCTGACTGAAAAACTTTGTTGCTTTTCAATATGTGAATATCCCAGTATTAAATTGTTCTGGTTTCAACAAAATTAGTTCAAAATGGTTGGTGCTGCAGCAATAGTTAAATGTTGTTAGTTAATTGTGGTTTTCACAGCCAGGAACTCTAGTACACAATTTGTTAGTGAATTTTGCAATACCAATTTCAATAAAACTTCACTTCAAATTGCCCTACAATCAAAATAGTCTTATATAATGAAAAACAGATGCAAAAACAAAAAACTTATACTTTCATTATTTAGGTGAATAAGAATTTCACAGAATTGAACATCCAGTGGACCACAAAATGGATGTTTTTGAAACAGAACACTGCTGGCCTACCCTGGTTATACAATATTTATCTTATTATACCATATTTAGTTTTTTCCTCTAAATGTTACGAATAACAACTTAAACAAGCTTATATTCTGAAATAGTGGTAATTCCATTAAATTTAGAGTTTCTAGTTTTTCACATTTTAACAGCAATCAACATTACTTAGTGATTAATTTGTATATCATATAAAGAACGAGGCAGATCTTTAGATTTTGCAGTCAAATACTCACACTACTTTAGAAGTGAATCCTGACCAAAACTTATAAACACAAGCTTTCAGAACACTTAAAGAATAAAAGTAAGTAAGCCTACTCTGGATTTAGTACTAAGGTTTTATTACATTATTACGATTAGTAAACTAGGAAAGAAATAAAGTTAAAATTTGATGAAAAGAAATATAAATTTAGTGTGTTTGACGTTTTATTCTTTCGACAAACTTCAATATATTTTAGTTTGATTTGAAACATTTACATGCACCATTAGAAACACATGTATTGGGCCACTTGAAATTTTGGAGTTATACAAAAATATAATTACTTCACATTTGTAAGATAAATAAATTACTGTAACTGTCAATAATCAAGGTGAAACAACTGTGAAAATAACAATATAAAATTTAACACAAAAACAGAGAGAAAAATATCTTATATAAAGTAGAGCTTAATTGGTAGAACATTTTTAAAGCTTCAGAAAAATATTAACAGAATAAGTGAATGCTATTAAAATTAATCTTGCATGCATGAGTTAAAACAACTAGAACAAAGACATATAGAGGAATAAGTGGTAAAAATGGATAGTACACAGAAAACATGCATCTACAGAAAGTAAATAAAGAAAAAAAAAATGTGAAAGCTCATGCAGGACAGGAAACTAGTTATTTGCAGTCCACTGAGAAGAAGAGGGCATGCCAAGAACTATGGGCAGCACAAACCTTTGGACTGGTCCACCCATTAGAATGAGTCTGTGGGTCACCAATCACAGAAACATGTTTTTCTGATTCTTGCTCTGCAGGGTTTTGTTCAGACTGGCTTATATCTGTTTGAAAGAAATCATCAGCAAATGGATCAAATTTTCTACGAAAAATATTATTTTCTTCTGGGGTATAAGGCGTGGATACTGGTTGTTTTAGCTGATTACCATTAGCTGATCCTTCTGTGCTGTTACTACAAAATGATAGTGTGGTTTGAGAATCATTCGTATTGATAGGTAGCTGAGATGGTTTTAAATATGAGATTAATAAATCAGCTCTTTCCTGTGAAGTACTAAAGCTGTCCAAGAAAAAATCTTTTTCTTGGCCCCAAAATGAAGTTCCATTGGCCATAAAAGAGGATGGGCCCTTTTGGTACCCATGAGATGCTGAAGGTGAAGGCAATGACACAGGTAAAATCCCATCTCTCTTTCTTGTTGTTGTATCCTCTGAACCATCACTTCCAGACCAAAAGCTCACAGTCTGACTTTTTACAAAAGGATTTCTTTTGGTTACATTCTTTGGTGAAATAGATGCATTTTCACGTGTGGGAGTTCTCAGTTTAGTAGGTGAACTACCTAAAGTATTGGTATGTCCAGAAGGTCTTGGTCTAGCAACTGAATTTCCTTGGTTAATACTTACAGAATGTTCTTCCTTTGAATGAGTACCAAAGTCAAAGCTGTTGGTGGATCCAACTAACAGTAAACCAGTTTTTCTTTCTGTTGTGTGAGGACTATCATTTTCAGTAAATGCACTAAATGGAGAGGTACTAAGAGGAAAAGATGGTGGTTTTCTAGAAGGAATGGGTATTGGTGGACTTGCTACAGGAGAGGAATTGGACTTGCTGGGAGATTCGTGGACTGAACTGTCTAAAGAATATTTAGACAACTGATTTTCATTGCTGTCCTGCAAAGGATGAGGAGGGATTTTTCTGGGTGGTGGTGGTGGTGTGGGAGTGACACAGTTTCGGTGAGGAAGCTTTGGAGGAGGGGAAGGGATAACATTAAAACTAGGTTCAGATGCTCGGGCAGGGATTCTTGGAGGTGGTGGAGGGGGTGGTGCTGAATCACAGATAAAGGGATTTGAGGCCCTTCTAGGAGAATGAGACAAATCACTCATCCACAATTTTAAAGGACTAGAGATACCAGGAGAGCTACTCAAAATTTTGGAGACATGAAACCTGGGGGTGTGGTTCCAGACACACCAGTGAACTGCTTACTAGGACTCCCATAAAGACTACTCACTTGATCTGCTGAGAGTGGTGGGTCAGGCTTAGCTGAAACTGTTTCTTGTGATGCCTCAGTGCTATCTCCAAGTAAGTCTTTGAGGACCTTCTTTGGCGGATTCTTAAGTTCATGGAAAAAATTCTTCTTTTCAATAAAAGGTCGATCTCTTCCAAGAGGATCAAGCTCTGCAAAAACAGACAGATCTATTGACCTGGATGGTTTAGGAGGAGGTTCAACAATAGCAGAAGAGTTTTCATTATCTGTCTTCGCAAAAGAAATGTCAAGTTGGGATGTTTCTTTAGAAGGAAGATCTACTTTCACAATGTCAGGATTATCAAATATACTTGGTATGGAATCAATCTGAGAGAAAGCTGCATATTTGTCTGCTTCACTTTTCAGCTCATTGAAAGAAATCTGAGAAAAAGTTGGCTCAGAGCTTGTGGGAGCTGTGCGAGTACGAGGAGGCAAAGCTGGTGGAATGTCCAAGTCACTGGTTGAAGAAATTCTACTGGCCAACTGTGTAGTTTCAAGATCATCTTTGGTCTTGCTAGCTATGAAATCCACCTAGTGTTAAGGATAAAAATTAAACATGTAAAATAGAATTTATAAAGAGACTTATATCATGGTATAAGCACTAATTTTCAAAGTTTAGAAAAACATGAAAATTCAATAAAGAACCAGGAAAAAATGTTTTTTTTTCCCCCAAAGAAATGTTTTTCTAAAACTTGCATCTTAACTCTAAGTGAATAAGTAGGAGTCAAAATGCTCATGTCACAACCTTTTATGGAGTTAAATTCGGAATATGATTAAACAACATTATTATCAATCTATGTCAATAAACTTAGCATCAAAATGTAATTTATAATCAGTTTGTCACTATGTAAGTAAGTTAATCAGATTTTTGTCAGTAACCAATAGTCAACCCACAATAAATTGTAATTTCATTGTCTGGTAGAAAAGTATAAAGAACTAAAGCACGATAGGTCAGATGCTCAAAAATGTGAAAATGTATATTGGATATTGGTTGAAACTCAGAGCTTAATTGTTGTGAGCTGTAATTAAATTTTGAGAGTGTTGTATTATTAATTAGATTTTGTAATAATTTACAGAGTTAGGTTTTTTCTTTCTGATTACTTTTCCTGATTTCTTGTATAAGGTTACACTGTTGAGTTAGAAGTTTGCTTGCATCACATCCAAGTCCAGCATTTTCAAACTGTGTATATATTCTGTTTTACTTGTGTAACAGTTCTAATAAATACTTTTTTAAAATTAAGAATCCTGATATTAATGTTTTGGCTATTCTTAAAGTGGAATAAAAGATTTGTTAAAAGTTGAGAAAGCAAAATTCTTCTCAATGTCTCATAATTTATCTACAAACAAAGTTTGAATCATTCTATAAAATTAACTGTTGCAGGTGTAGCAACAAATAGTTTTTAAATCAACATTTACTGCAGCAAAGCATTTCTAATAAATTAAAGTACATCAACAAATGATCTTGAAATGCCGGATCTACATGTACAAATGTTGTCAAAAGATAACTTTCACATTCAAGGTGGATTGTTCAAAATACATCCATGGTTAGGAAACGATTGCAAAAATGAATGCATCTTTATGCAAGGTCTGCATGAAATCATCTATCCTCATCCAGCACTGGGTTTTCTTTTGCATTTTGGTTACTTGTATATTATCTAGCTTATATCTAGTAAATTATCAAATATTCAATAGTCATTACACCTTTAATATTAGAATACTTAAATTGTTTCTAAATTCCATACTTTACTGTTATGTTATGTTTAGGTATAAATGTATTCTTCCTCTATACTTATTGGTGTACAACCTTTACATCATATTTTACTGATACCTGACATGCAATTATACCACAGACTCATGTACATCAAGACAGGGTGTGCCATATATTATCACCCTAACATTTGTTAAATAATGTCCTAAAATTTAAAAAATGGTTCAACTTAAGCTTCATTGACCATGCTAGTATTACTGTTACTATAACAATGAAACCTCATTAATCCAAATGGTCTGGATGAGCCTCAACCTCACTATACATATTGTCCAACAGCTTTGTGCAAGTACTAGGATGGCCATGTACTTATTCCACCCATCCTTGCAACATAATTATGGCTTTTTTGCTCCTTCTATTTTCCTACAAGGGCAAAGAGTATATCCTGGATGAGACAAGATGTAGTCTCCCACGAGTGTACCCCTATGGAACTCCTGTCATCAAGTATCACACACATGGGCTTCCTTTAGTAACATTCTGAAGGGTGCTCATTTACGTAATCTTTTCACTGGTCCCTCCACCATTTCAACATGGGATTCTAGCTATTCTGAATGAGAAAGTGAGTAATCGTTGAGAAAGTTAACATTTTCCTTACCTGAAAATGTATTTCCAATAGATACTCAACTCTTCACATATTCTTATCCATCCTCCCCACTTTCTTGTGCATGTTTCTTCATTGCTTTGTCAAAGAATGAGGATACACAAGCATGAATATAGAGGGAGTCATTGTGCATAGAGGTTTGTCACACTCCTATTGGTATAAGGTTCTGCAGTGGCACAAGTTCACATGATTTCACGTGAAATTAGGTGGGAGTTTTTAAAAGGATGGTGGCTTGCACATCTCTTTGGCAGATTGCACAAATTCAAGTGGAAAGAAGCTGTTCTGTGTGAATAGGTGAGTATTTGTTTCAGAATTTTTTTCCTAAACTCTTTGCACTCCTGCAGGGTTTTTTATTGCGATTGATGAAAGACATGATTCAAAAAGCAATAAATCAATAAAACTAAATAAAAGTAGTTGTGAAGTTAACAGGCCCAAAGCTTTAAAAAAATAACTGTAATTGTCTATATAATCTGCAGTTATTTTAGTAAACCAAAAAAAAAATATTTTTGATTATATTTCATGTTTTTCAACTTTCACTACAAATGATTTTGCAACAGTTAGTATTATAATAGAAAAAATACAAGATAAGGTATAAGGTTTTACTGAAAAAAACAACTTGTGATATTCATTTAGGAAGTTCTAGAGGTTATGCAAATGAATACAAAACTTTAAGATGAAAAAAAAGCATTTTTATTCTTAACACAAAAATCATCTTGTAGTAAGACTCAGTAAATTCAGACAAATCCATAGTAGAAATACTTCATTAAAAATTCTGATTTTTTGTTTACAATACATTTTACTGTTTACTAAAAGCTTACCAAATTTCATAAAGATACCTGTAGTAGATTCAGAATTACAGTAAACATTAATTTCCAATAAAGGGTTATGCTCTTGGAGCTAAAAATGCTTTTTGAAAGCAGCAAGAAATAATCCACACTGATCTGTTTATATTTTCTAATATCTAACTGACAATACATAGTGAAACAAAAAAAAATCATTTCTCACCTTTTGTGGGGTAAGGACAAAAGCTGAAGTAAAAGGATCATTTTCTGGTGTGTCTCCTGTTGAATCGAAAGCTGTAGCAGTAGCAGCTATACTGCTATCCATCTGTTGAATACCCTGAAGACAACAAATTATGTAAGCTACTTGAAGAATATAGTTGAAAACATTGTTAAAATAACTTAAAATCCTATGATAGCCTTCTTGAAAATGATACTTAATGATAAATCCATGTTACTTTCTTACAGAACCATAACAGTTTTATAAAACACTGCTCAAAACAACTAGCAGTGGGTTAGAAAAATGCACAACAGTGGTCAACTTGCAAAAATCCAGTTTTATGCAGCTTGTTTCTGACTATTTGGTTGTTCGTTTATCTTTTGGTTGCTACTTTAAACTGTTAATGGAGAGCTCAGGCCAATCAGATGGTTCAAACCCAATTGTATTAGTGATCTGAAACTGATTCCACTTCTTGATTACTACACTTTATGAGACTTTTAACCATTCTGCAACAACTTGTTTGTTTGATCAGCTATTAGTAAACATATTCCTCTTCACATATTTGGAAATGTCCAAATATTTCAAATGAGGCCCTGACATGTTTCACTAATCTGGATCTCTTTACACACTATGTTGTTGTTCAATATGCTAAATGAAAACCCAGTGTTTCCTTACTTTATAAACAACTATAATAAGCATATAAGACCACATGACCAACCATCAACAAGTGTGCTTTGTCATGTCTACAGTAAAAAAAAAAAAGAAGATTTTTACCCTTGCTAATTGTGAGTAACATAGCATCTGTTCACTAGCTTAAGCAACATATTCATAAAATTATTATTTTTTCTAGGAAATGGTTTTTAGTGAGTATCTCAAGTGACTTATTTAAAAAATTAAATTTTTTTCTAAAGAGAATTTAACAATAAGCTCAAGTGATTACTCTGAAAACTAAATTACTTTTTCCTGAGAAAAATTTAACATTTAGCTAAGGTAGCTTAGCTAACAAACAAGATTAGTTTTATGGGCGAAAAAAAAAGTTAATTTATGATCTTAGATATTTAGTATATTCACAAAACAATGTTTTTTTTTTTATTTTTAATTTTAAAAAAATTGTTAATGATTACTTTGGAGGTTCACTAGTAAAACTACATTAGTTTACAGAAGGCTAAAATTCTTGATTATCTCTAGGTTTATTAAAAATAAAACAAGAAAACTGGCACCCTCTTTTGAGGTTTATTTGTTTTATTACATACACAAGAAAAAACCATGATTTCATACCAATAAACACATTTTATCATAAAAGAATTATTCACAATCATATAAAATTAGGGATGAGAATAGAAAGAGCCAAACAAAACTGGAAACTAAACCTGCAAAATGTTTCCAAAATGTAAGAGACAAAGATTACACAAGAAACCAAACAGATTTCAAAACCAGTGATTTTGATTTTATTTTCACAGAAATGATGGTTGTCATCTTAATATAGTTTCATATGAACTTATTTTAAATATATCTATAATTTCATCTTTGCTATCTTGTTTCAAAACCTATGACATGACTGGCATATTTTCACACAACAACCTCATGCTGCATACACTCCTATTAACACTCAACCAGACTTGTATGACAGTAAAGATAAACTATTATGGTGTAGAAAATTAAGTTTTAATTTTTGTAGACATGTCATAAACTATTCCATTATTCAATTTTTTTAAGTTTCTATGCAAATAAAGTAAACTTTAAAATTCTTCATGACCTTAGCAATAAACTTTAATTTATCTTCACAAACAAAAATGAGATTTCCCCCTTAAAAATTGTCTATTTGGCTTTACACTATCACAAAAATGACCCTGGTGACTGTAACAAAAGTATCGAATCTATGAAATTATGGGAAATTCTCATCCTGAAAAAAAAAAAAAATAATATATATATATATAATGCACACCCATCCCATTAATGAGCAAAAAACAAAACAAAAGAACAATGGTTACCGCTATCAGTGTATCACATTATAAATTACTTAGTGAAATATAAAAAAAGGTATTCCAAATAAACATCATAAAATAGTTACGCCTACAGAAAACAGTATCTTCACTACTCTAAGCTTGTTTACTTCTTCTAGCATCATTTACATGTTACTTTGAGGAAGTCAAAATAATAAATTTTAGTCCAATATTCTAGGTTTGTCTCTATGTTCAAACATGGAAAATTAAAGTCTCAACAAAGTATTAAAATTGTAGGAATTCAGGCACATAAAACTCTCTGATAATGATTAATACTATTTATGTTCATGACTTTTAACATATTCAGAATGATTTTTATTAGTTATATATTACATATAAACAAAAATAATTTTGAGAATTAGGTAAAAATAAATGCATCGAGAAGAATAGTGTAACACAGTTATGTATAATGTACTGCACAAAATATTACAGAAAAAAGAAATAACTTTTTAAAGGATTGTTAACACCATACCAACTGTAAAGAGTTCAATTCAAACTGCAGGTCTAACAAGTTGCCAACATCTACAGAATCTTTTAATGTGGTTTCTTCTGGTTTTTGGATAGAAGAGTTTTCAGATTGCACTGTTTCTGGTCTTGTTGTTTGTTTGATATCCTGTTGGTCAAATATAACATACGAACGTATAAAACAAACAGACATTATGGAATTTGAGTGGTTTACACATGATCAATAACTCATTAATTATCTCTTTTTTATTGTTTGTAATGTGGTCAAACAATAGTTAATAATCTTTTATAGTATGCATCTCACTGCTAAAAATGGTTAAAATAATATCCAATTATTTTTTTGTATGGAGAGTTTGATTGATTTGAAAGTTGGTCAATAAGCATTTACTGATCTAGTTTAGTGTAGATTTTTTGATTGAATATATTATGGTTAAGTATTTGGTTCTTAAATATATTTATAGTTTACATATTTACTTATTAATCCATGCACAGAACCTGCTAAATACATGTTGAAATGAATGTATAAAAAATGTGTTCCAAGAAAATTTGAATGTCAGTGAAATACACTACTATGTAAAAAACTGAGTGTTTACCAACTAATGCATGTTTTAAAATATATTTAAATTAAAAAACTAAAATTACATCTGGTTCAAAGAAAAAAAAACAAAAATAGTTCCCCTAATCTTTTAAATATTAATACTATGTACACAGGGTCAGTTCATTGGACTGACATTCTATTGGAAAATTACTGATTACCATAATCCTGAATGTACTAAGTATATCTTCATGAAATTGGCAAACTTTCAGTAAACATGAAAAGTCCCATTTATACAAAAGATCAGAATTTTTATAAAGTATTTTTATTAAAAATTTGTCTTTGAATTTATGTAGTCAGAGTTCGACTAGTCTGAGAGCAAAATTAAGTTAAGAATAAAAGACACTTTTTATATCTTACAGTTTTGAAATTTCATTTATATAACCTCTGGAACTTCCTAAATGAATATCAAAAGGTTTTTTCAATAAATCTTAATACTAAAATATATTCATCTGTTTTGTCTACCCTAACACTATACAGACTTGGTTTATTTGACTGACTTTTTAACCACCACAAAAAATATTCTTGCCTTTCTAGAATGACTGTAGATTGTAACAGGCAGTTAATTATTGATCCTAAAATCTTGAGTCCTCTTATCACTTTCACAATTGTTTTCATTCAGTTTTACTTTATTGCTCTTTGAACCATGTATAACTATTTCACCTTGCCTAACAAAACTAAAAATCATGTTGTGAGTGCTCAGCTCAAGTTACAGGACATACTTGCAGCTCAAGTGCATATCTTGGTGAGAAACTTTAATTATTTAATTTTCTTTTTAATTTATTTCTTCTTATGTAACATAATAAGTTTCTAATTTTTACATTTTAATTACTTTTATAACAGTAAAAAATAAAAATAAATAAAAGACAAGAAATTTAGAACTTACATTCGGCCTTTTATTTTTTTGCTTTCAGCCCACTGATGAAACTTAAGCCTATTTTTTGTAATGATGATATTAGTACATCATGCAATTTATGTTTATTTGAAATATGACTTTAAGAACACAAAATTATAACACATAAAAAGTATTATTTATACAACTTTCAAACTAAGGTATAATGCCTTAAACTAATTCCATTAACTGGTTGATCTGAACTCGATAAGAGCAGCTTTGAACCTGTAGGTGAAATAACTAAAAAGCAATCATGAGAACAAACTAGCATTATACACTGTTTGGTAAATTAAAATTTTCTCTTTCTCTTGATTATAAATGATATAATAGTAAATTTCCAAGAGAATTATTGGCATCTGTGAAAAAGACAATGTAATAGAAGGGCATGGCAAGTGGGTTTGACTTTATGGTTTTATATCTCCATAAATAAAGTAGATTGGATGTTATAAAATTAGACTCTGCCTAAGTAATATTTGTACTATAAATGTGTAATTTATGTTAAACTCAGGACATCATACAGGAGTTGTTAAAAATTAGAATATACTCAATTTGGAGTAAACAAATGTTATGAGATAAAGATGAGTTTGAAAAATTATTTAAATATTGTATTCTATTACAATATGAATTTTAAACTACATTTTAATGCTAAGTTTATTGACATACATTGAAAATAAATTTAAATTTGGAATATAACCCTGTAAAATGTCATGATACGCACTGGCCAAAAGAAAATTAACTTTGATTCAAGTATATTATTACAAGTCATAAATAACACTGTTAAAAAACTTATATTAACCCTTTCACATAGAGTAGGTAAAAGTGCACATGCCACAATGTTTCACAGAGCTACATTCAAAATTTAAATAAAATATTTGATTATCAATGTATACAAATAAGTTTGGCATCAAAACATAGTTAATATATCAAATTTTAATATTACTTAAGTTTTAAGTACTTAAATTTATAATGAAACAAAAAAAATCCTAATTCTCCCCTAGTATGAGAAATGAAATGGTTGTTATCTGTCTTCCCTCTTCTCTTGTTTATTTATCACCTCTATGAGAACTGAAGAATTCAAAATAAATTACTCATTATAGTATAGTCATTTCTCATACAAAACAATTTTTATAGTCTTCAATCTTATTTGGTTACAGAGCCATAAAGTAGAAAATGAGACCCTTCCTGCCACACCCATCTGTCACATCCTCTCTTTCACAAGTTGCCAATAGTTCTCTCTAATGTTTAAATATTATATTATTTATAACCAATAGAAAGCCAAAGTTTTAATGTATCAAATGACATATAATATTACATAGTTTTCTGTACAGAGAATTGTTTAATTCCCTTCCAGTCAAAACTTTATTTCCATGGGAAACAAAACGAGCTTAATTATATTTTTAACAACTGTTTTTGCACAGTCGGAAAACCTGTGCTTTACATAATTCGATAGAGTAAGGTTAGCTATACATTCTTCAAGGGATTTCAAATTTATGTGGTAAGATAATTAGTTAGACATGGTTAAAAAAAATAAATAATAATAATAATAAAATAAAGTATAAATAGATTTATACTGGTATAAGCTTTAAGTTACTTAGGATAAATGATTGTGGTTTTCTGTTACAATTTACAGTCATTCCAGTAAGAAAAAAGGGGTAATTTAAATTTATTTCAATTTTTTATTGATGGTTATGAGGTCAGTCAAATTGAACAACCTTGTCTATAGTTAGGGTAGAGAAAATAACAGATAAAATATAAAATTTTTCTGAAAAAAAATAACAAAAAGCATTTGATATTTATTTAGGAGGTTTCAGTAACTACACAAATGAAATTAAAAATTTTCAGTTGAAGAAAAGTATTTTTAATCTTAACATGAAAATGACTTTACACTTGGGCAGTCAGCACTCTGACACCATCTAATTAAAGACAAATTTCAATAAAAATTATTAATTAAAAATTCTGCTTTTTGTCTACAAAAAATTTTTAAAGTTTACTGAAAGCTTGCCAAATTTTGTGAAGATACATTAAGTACTTTCAGAGTTATAGTATGCATACCATCATGGTTACATGGTGGTTACCAGGTTTGTAACATACAGGCACCCATTGTGATAGGATTCAAAGAAACGTTGAAAAGGAATGACTGGCTTATCACAGATGCACTGCTTAGTTAAAAGCACTAGCATGTACTTACAGAATAAATGTTTTCCTCTTTAGCACTGCAGGGAATATCAGGTTCATCTACTCCATTAGGGGAATTATCAGCAATACTATCAACATTCTGGATAAAAGCACATGAAATTAAGCTCTTCAAATAATCCTAATAATCAACTCACAGCATAAATAATTTACAAAAGTATAAGAAAAATATTAATTTTTTTCCCTTTCACCAATCATTATCAAAAAATGTTTCAATTGAAACAAACATAATACAAGAGAATGTTGTAATTTGATTAATTTATTCAGAAAATTTTTTTGGTTACTAATAACTTAGAGGTTTTATTAATCTATGATTTTTTCTGATTTTAATTTCCTTTCTGTCTTCACGAAAAATTTCAATTTCTATATCACTTCACTTAATAAATACATTCCTCTACAGGTAAGAAACATGATATATCTGACCTACAAGTATATACTCTACATAGAAATGCTACTGGAAAATGTAAACACAAATGGTGTCATTATATTTTCATCACCTGATTTATATTTTATACTCATTAAATTTTTCTTGAAACCTGAAAGTTACCTCTTCCTCTGATTTTTGTTTATCTTGTTGCTCTTGTTTAGCTTTTTCCATCTCTTTCTGTTTTGACTCCAGAATCACTTGAAACAAATCTCGTAATGCAATCACAACTTGAGAAGCCTGATTTTAAAAAGCAGTTGTAGAGCATAATTATTTTTCATATCCTTCACAAATCATTAAAGTTTATCATAAGATAAGGAATTATATGTATTCAAACAATACATTCTACTGTGAGCAAACAACCTTGTTTCGCACCCCATTCCTATTGCTTTACGAGTAAAGGGGAATAATTTTTCTACATAGTTTCATTTGACAAAATATTGCATATTTATGCTTGCTGGAATAATATTGAAATTTACTAAATATATGTAAAATTAACAGCTGAGTACATTACATTAAAATGATTTTGAATATAAAAATCAGCAAGTCATGACAACCACAGCCAATATAAAGTTGTGATGGAACAGCATGTATCAAAACTCCATTTTGACATTTGTTAAGTGTGATGTAACCAAACATTTATTGCTTCTTGGAGGTTATGTAACAGCCCTTTTTGATGCAATCTATTCATTCACTCAGATCATGAAGATGTGTTCTGATATTTCCAAGATGGGGTTATTCATTGTAATTAATTGCATTGGAAAACAAAGGAATATGGATAAACTTAAGGCACCGGGAGAACCCAAGAAGTGACCTCTAACAAGTTGTACTCCGGTCATTGCAAAGAACTTGTAACAAATGAGAATCTAAACACAAAAAGGTCAGTGGTAAAAGCTGTCCATGTGACCCAGGCAACAGTACACAATATACATTTATACAAGTTGTATCCACAACATATCTGATCAACTGTCACATGCCTCATGCAGTGGAAAATGAAAAGGGCCTTCATGCTTTTTCATAAAAAAGAACTTATGGACTTTTGTGCAATTGGACTGTTGAAATTGGTGTTGTGAAATAGTTATTCTTGAGCACTAGATGGATTATGGAAATCTTGGATGAAAGAATGGTGTGCTTTAGACATGAAAACCTTACCACAAAGCTTTTTGCAATAAAAACTAGAATGCACAGTGATCAGATAAAACATGACCAGACATCATGATATGGACTGTAACAATGTGATGAAAGTCAAAATCGTTTTAATATAAAGTACTCAATCTCTAAATAAGTAACATTAGGAGTTGCATAAAATGGGTTAGAATTATATAAAGATGTATTAGCTAAAACAAAATGTGGAACAAACAGTCACTCTCAAGTTAAATTTACAATTAAAAAGATTCACCTAAAGTATTTACAAAATGTAATTCTTCTTTAATCATGGTTAAGCTAGATTATTTCTGAAAATGCTCTCTTAATATAATTAATTTCTGATTGTAAACAGCAGAGTTGTGCCCAACTATTTTATACTTCCCTTTCATAAACTTCTCAAGTGGAGAAACTAGTCAAAATATTAACAAATCAGAGAAAAACATCTATGTTTTCATCTTGTCCAATTTTAAAACATACCTTTACACAAAAGAAATTAATGTACACAAATGGTAATAACACTATCAATGAAATGCTTAACATACCGACTTCTCTGTCTTGATGGCAATGAACTTGTGATACTGGTTATCAACATTACAGATGTAACCAAAAGCACGAGCATCACTGATGTCTTGAGAAATAAAGGAAACTGTATGAACAGGGTGATGATGCAGCTCTTCCTGAAACATTAGGAAATGCAATGAATTGTAATTTACCAAATTAGTTTTAGCTGACATGCAAATGTTACAGGAAATTCTATGATGTGGAACAATTTAATATGGTCTCAAAAACTGGTAAAAACATGGAAAAAATATAATTAATGAAGAAATGCAAAACACTAATGAATATAAAACATTTTAACAAGCAAGGCAACTTAATAATGCAGGGTTTCAATGATTATGGTTTTAATGTAAATGATATAGATAAAATACAATTGCTGGTAACTGTCTTTAATTTGATTTTAGTTTCAATGAGTTACATTAAATTCTTTCTTACTTTTTGTGATTTCTGCTATATTCTTGTCATCTGATCTTAATTTAACATAAAAAAAGATGAAAGTAAAAACATACCTTAAAACACTTGAGTTAATTTACAGTATATTACAAGTAGTAAAAGAAGTTTACAGGAAACTCAAAACACAACCTATGAAAATATATTGCGGAAAATATGATGCCAATATTCTTCTAGTTTATGATAAAACTGACTTTAGACTTATTAAACATATAACTGCATAATTATACATAAAAATAAAAAAACTTTTAGGAATATGCACTTAAACAAAGCTTTTTTTCCTGTGCAACTCTGGAAACCCTGTTGACATATATCACCTTCTGGAGACCTGTTTGGTAAACAGCAGAAACTAGAGCTGTAAATTACTTCTTCAGGTAAACTTAACACTGATATGACTCGACAGTTTTAGAAGCTAAATATGTATAACTTTGTTTTGTACATTTATAAATATATTTATATTAACATTTGCAGTAAATTGCTATAATTAGCTCAGAATAAATTATTTTTACACCCAAACATTTGAATGCTCTCTGTAAGAGCTTTGTCAAAAAACAGAGTTAGTAGGAAACGGTCCCCCACTTCAAGAAACTTGGACAGAAACTGATAATCACAGTGAAAGTTTAACAAGGATAATAATAAGATGCACGATAACAACCAGACATAATTTCAGAAGGAGGTCTAATGATTACGGTTATATAGCCCAACTAATACCAAAGATCAAGAACAGCTTAATAATTATGGGTATATGAGTAACTAATGATAATTACAAAAACACCAATAAGTTGTAACTTGAAGGCCTCAGACTAAGAATTTTAAGAAATAGCCTAAAAAAAAATAAGGACATTATTTTTGTAACAAGTAATTTGACAAATTAGATCTGTTTTGAATACAAAAATTGCTTATCACTGGAAAGTTATAGTTTTTTTTAAATTACTAACATTGGTTTTTTCATCTTTGATTCTAATTCCTGCAAGTGAAACATTCAGGGTGATTCGATGCTTGTGCTCACCAGAGCTTCGAACAATGGCCTAAAATGAATCAAAATTAATAGAAACCAAGTTCATTAACAATTCAAGAAACAAGTATATAGTTTGTAACTGTAAACAAATTTTTATACTAAATTTTAGTTTTTATAACCAGACCCAGGGTGATTTGAGAAAATTTAAGTCATAAAATTAAAAACTGAGCAATCAAAAGAACCCCACAAAAAAAAAAAAGTAAATGGATATCTCAAATAGAATATTTATCATAATTTGAAATATTTTTAAACCATCAAAACTGAAAAATGTAAAACATATATTACACTATTGGTGTGCTTTTGCCTAAAAAGCACACATTAAACCAGGACAAACACCCTGCATTTATATGTAGATGATGTTCCACAACCTTGAGCCGCTGAAGAGATTCCTGACACATCTTATCACCTCGTGCCTCGTTCACATCCTCTTGACCAATCAACTTGGCTTTAAATTGGATTCCGTCCCCTTGAAACTTAGAGATATCAGTCTTTTCTAGAAAGAATAGATGCAATATAATCTGTGAAGTTAAGCAAATATACTTTGTCTCCTTACATGCACAATATTTCATTCACTAAAATAAAAGTATTGCAAGATGTGATTTAGCTCTTAAATGTAGAATATTCTGAAAGAATTTTAATCTGTTTGATCTACATTCCTGTAAAATTCTCTACATTCTTACAGACTTGTGCTATCTTAGATGTAATTAATATTCTCTCAAAATTTCAAAAAAGATCGAAGCAAAAACAATTTAGCTGAATGAAATTCATTTTAAAATGCTTTACTTGTACCTTAACTAATTCTTTAGATAAACTTTTGACAAAAATAGAATGTTTACATGTATAGTTTCATGTATACTGCATAGTTTCTTAGTTTTAATCTTAAAGTACTAAATTATTCTTTCCACATTTCTAGTAGTCTTCTTGCAGCCACAAATGATATAGAAAAACAACTACAGTTCAGATTAATCACAGAATAAATTCTAAATATTCACAATATAACTAAGGTCATATGACATACCACAACAATAACAAGTTTTCTTTTCTTTCTAAAAACAATGCAAAATTTCTGAATGAATAAATTTGACATAACTTATCATATTCAAGATAATACTTTAGGTTTACCCAAATTGGCAGGTAAAATTTTAGGTTGAAAAATATAAAGCTCTCATCCCCGTAATGTTGTTCCAGTGTACAAAAAAACAACATTAGATATCAAATTTCATCCATTTTGGACCATATTTAAAGGCTGCTCAATGAGGTCTAAGTTCTAAATTGCAGTAGCCTGTTTGTTACTTTTATGTACTTTGTGATATAAAAACATCTTTTATGTATTATAATTGGTTTATTTAAAGTATATTATTATCTTATTGCAGGTACAATAGTATAATTATATGATTTTGGTGTGGTTAGTTACTTTTGTGTTGTTACTGTTTCCCTTTTGCTCTCAGGAAAGTTTCTTCTATGATCCTGTTCAACTTGAAGGGGGAACTGTTTCTGTTCTTTCTTTCATCCCTTTCACCATTGCCATATACTACATTCAAGTGCTTAACTGTCTATACTACCTCTCTACAGTTCTCTCTGAGCTCCCATAACTCAGGGTCATAATCCAGAAATCCATATGGAATTTCAAGGCACCTGAAGAAATTTGTTGCATTGTTTGTGATGAAGTCTTCAACTGACATGTCATAAGACTTAATGACATTTCACTGGAAGCACTTTAGAGGTTCATATATGCTTTCCTTCTCATTTAGTACCTTTACCATTACTTGTTAACTCTCTGTGGATACAGCTGAATTAAAGAATGCCAAACCAAAGAGTTCTTCACTGAGATACCATAGATATCCAGCAAATTGTTGACAGGCAGATTTTGAAAGAGTAAAATTCACTTTTTTACACTTTACAAGACATTGTAGGAAGTTAAGATCATCGTGAGGAGCAGAAATAACAACAGGACCATGCCCTAAAAGAGACTCAACCTACAAATACGTAGATATCATGGAGTCCCATTTCCTCACAGCTGGTAAACTTAAAATGTCCCATAAACATCCAGATTTTGAAAGCATATAATGCCTTGACCATCTATCATGCATGATGCAGCACTTCAGGTACTATAAGTCATGCTCCACAAGGAGGTATGCCACCAAGAAAGATTATGGATAGAAGCTCTCTATAATCATCTCTAGGTTAGCTGACCTGAAATTGCCTTTTGGCAAACTCAATAACACTGTCCCTAACTTCTGCTACGGCCATTGCTACTTCATCATGGTCAGCTGAAGTTTCATAACTGGACTGGTCAATGTATTCCCAAGATTGCTGGAATCAATTAAAAATTGCAATATCTGGACCAGAGGAAAGCCCTTACACACACACTTTGAAAACACATGCCAGGACAAGTACTAAGATATGATACAGAATATTCAAAAGTAAAATATGACAGCTTGGACTATTTATATATGATGTCTTATTAAACATTCTGAATAATGCAGAATACTGTGGAATATTCCAGAATGTTCCAGAATAATCTAGAACCTTCCAAAAAAAATATTTAGAATTTGCAGATATAACATAAAATCAACTACTTTGAGCAACCCCTAAATGGATGAAATTTAGCATGAATTACTTTATACTGGAACTACATGAGAAGGTGAGAAAGGGTGTTGTGAATCAAATTTCAAAAATTAAAGGCCACCCTATAATACTTGGTAATCATTATACAGGACTCATTAAAATGGCAATACACATGACAGATTTTTAAAAAAATCTATGGTTTATTAATTAACACCTCTACAACAGGTTTATATAATACACATCTTCATATTTATGAAAACTCAAAATATGAAAACACGTGACTACTGCACAAAGCAATCTGTGTTATTGTACTCCATTTCATAATTCTTTAACCAAGGTAAACTACAGAGTACTGTTTAGTTTTAATATAGTTAAATATAAATAATTTTACAGGTATGTTTAGTCCGTGCAGATAATCTGAAACTCTGTCCTGATTACTTTTATATTCACTAGCAAAATGTATGGATAGGAAAATAGTATAGGCTTGGATAACGTAAATATTCTATAGAACTTTATATTTCAAAAACTTCTGCCATCATGTGATAAAAAATTATATTCAAATTAATTTCAGTAAGTTATTTGATTTCTCAAACAGTATACAGGAAGAATGGGAGTAAAACTTTAAATTCTTACTTAAACAAGTAGAAACAGAATATCTATTTTAATAGGACTTGCTTCTATTTAATCAGTTCAAAAAGCACCAAATTCTCCTATGTTTGGAAAAAATAACACAAAGACACACCTATATATCCAAAAAATAAATATATGTAAATACATAATTATTCTAATCACATTTATTTCTTCTAAACTAAAACAATTTTTACAGTAGATACCTCTTGAAAACAAGTTTTATTATCAAGACACACAGTAGTGTGTTGTGCAGCCACACCAATCTCTAGGACACACTGAGTGTTACTAACAGGAGTGATAGTTCAGCAATTTTCCACTTTCTGTAGCTCAAACTGTGGTAATCCAACCTATCATATATTTTCAGTGGATTTGCTCTGTTGGACCCTTACTTTCACATACCAAATTTTGAGGCAATCCATTGAGAAATAACCAAGATATAACATCTCCAGTTTTGATTGAATATTTCCTCTTTTTTTTCTTTGCACAGAATGTACGGAAACTTTATTTGATAGAAAAATATACTTAACTTTCATGGATTTTTTTTTCAAATTTGGTACACTGATAAATCTTTACAACCTACAATTAGGTGTCAGATTTGGTCTAAGTATAAGCCACATGAGCAAAGTTAATCCAAAAAACTCCTCAAATTTGAACAAAATTTCTGTGCATGCCTATGCAAAAAGTCATGTGAGTTATGAAACTGAAATTATTACTATAGCTTCATCTAAGAGAAAAAGTGAGCCATATTTAGTTTTTGTCATTCAGATTAAAAATGGCTCACTTAGAGCAGCAGAACTATATGGTGAAAGGACATGCAGGTACATAAGTATTGGTTAGGCCAAGCAAACTAGATTAGCTGTTTCTAGCTCAAGTTATCAAAAGAATCATGCAGGTAGACAGTTATTATTCATTGCCAACTTTTGAGCACAAATTTCCTAAATTTTATTAAATTCTCCTAATTAAAAAACATTCAACATCACATGATATTAGCTTAAGTGATTATCGTAAATAATGATGCTTGATACAGCTGTACCGAGTGCATGCGAGTGATGACAAGAAACTGTTAATCTAGATTCCATGGCATTATGATAAAGGAAGCTATTAACACTGTTTTAGAAATGAAAAACTACCACCATATATTTTAAAAAGTCTGGTTGGTTCTATAAAATATAGGTCTGTTCCAATTAATAGGGTTGCAATCCTAAAGCTAATATTGGTTACTATCAAGTATCACTTCTTACTTGCTGTGGTTTATGGGTGTGTATTGACAAAAAGTCATGATATATAATCAAAACACCTTAGGTGTGTAAAAAAAGGTGTGGCCCATAAAAGGATTGAGCATGCATTTAAAAGAATGAAATCAGAATTGGCAGCCAAATTGATAGCTACACTTATAGCATTGATAAGAATTTTACAACAAATATTCATGTTTTTTGTTCAACTTGGAGCATGATGGTGGGTAAAACAAAATATGCAGCCTAGCTAACTAATGAATGAATATTTGCTGTATAATTCTTATCAACACTATATATGTAGCTACCAGTTTCGCCACCAATTTTGATTTCATTCTTTGAAATTGCACACTCAATCCTTTTTTTCAAACCTAAGGTGTTTTTGATTAGGTTATTTCTAGCCTCAACATTTCTTACTTTTTAAGTATTCCAAATTTTTTTATACAGTGCTAATTAATATCATTTGTTTGGGTGTAAGTAGTAATAATTATATATATCATATCCAATCATATTCACTCAAAACTACAGTGGTATCATGAAAGAGCAGTGTTTGTTGTTATGTTAAGCTGTACCAGATTACTTTATCTGAGTTGATTGACCACTGTATTAGGTTAGTGCATGTGTCATGCTTGAAATCCTAAACAAAATCATTTAATTCCATGACTCAACTCTTTGTATGCTATAGTTCTCTTATGTATGTTAAGCTGTACTAGATTACTGTCAAAGATATTATGTAATGTTTAACGGGGTAACTGATGCAAAACAAAAAATACAATTGAATTTTAAACTCAGCCCAGAAGGATAGAAAAAAGATGAAATGAATAATACATGTATATGCTCAGTACTAACAAGGAACAAAGAAATGCAAATATGATAAAACCTGTACATATTTTTATGCATGATATCATTATGTGGAACAAGAAACAAACACATCTAGCATTTCTCATTATTTTCAGCTTTCTTTATAAGTTCAGATTCAGAATCAAATCAGTGCATGTATTACGTGTACATCTTTACATAAAAATTAAAACTTTTACATTCTTGACAGGCTAGCCTAAAATAA